CTCGGCTTCTGTGGACCAGGAGTCAGCCATGGCTTAGCTGGTCCTCTGTGCAGCTTCTCGAGAGGCTGTACTGCGAGAGCTGTCTGGGTTGTGCTTTCATCTGGGAACTAGACTGGGGAAGAACCCATTTCCACCTCATTTGGGTTATTGGAAGAATTCCTCTCCTGCAGTTCTATGATTGAGGGCTCTGGGTTTTTTCGCTAGATATTGTCTGGAGGCCACTCTCAGTTCCTAGATGCTGCCTGAAGTTTCTAGAAGCTGCCTACAGTTTCTTGTTACATGGGCTCCTTAACATTTCATCAAGCCAGAGAGGAGACTCTCTCTCTAATCTGATAAAATGGAATCTTATATAATATTACCTAATCAAGGGAGAGACACCTCATCACCTTTGCCATGTTCTGTGGATTAGAAGCTAGTCACAGGTCTTGCCCACACTCAGAGGGAGGGGATTGTACAAAGGTAGGGAAGGGATGACAGGAGGTGGAAATCAGTGGGAGGCGGTCACCCTGGGGTCTACGACAACATCCACACTTTACCATAACATAGGTATAACACTCATTTCCTTCTGGAATTATAAGCAGCTGTTATTGCCAGCCTGCCCTCAGGAATCCAGCAAGCTCCTCAGGGTAGAGACCATGGTCTAACTCATCTCTTGAATCCTCCAGCACCTGGTACCATGGATTCCACATGGTCCTGTGCTGGTTATTCTGTTTGCCCCTGGCCCCATTCATTTCCACCTTTCTCCGTAGGCCCTGAGCCCAGGAGGCTGACTCCCAAGGACCAAGTCACCAGGTCCCCCTGCCCTCTGGCTTCAGGCTGGGTGCATCCGTTGAGAAGGACTGGAAGGGGACTGGAGGGTAGAAAAAGAAAAGGCTGGTCTTTCCTGCTACCTTTAGCCACAGCTCCTGCCAGATAGCTCCCTCTGGGTTCCTGGAACAAAACCTCCTCTCCTTCCCCCCAGGCTAAGGAGTAAGAAGAATAGTTGTCACTCTCTCTGGGCACATAACCGTACCACTTCTCTGTAAATAGTCCGCTCATTAACCTCTCCTCAATGACCTTTTTGAGAGTAACAGTTGACTGACAGGGGCTGGAGCTGAAAAAAATGTTAAGTGAAGAAATGCATGTGTGATTAAAGAAAGCTACAACAGGAAGGAACTATTATGAAACATCTACTGTATTCAAGGCGCCACACTAAGCTTGTTCACACAGCTCTGCGGGAATCAGGAGCTGACAAATAACATTCTTCTTCTTCTTTTTCTAATCTTCACCCAAGGATCTGTTTATTGATTTCAAAGAGGGAGAGAGAGAGGACAAGAGCGGAGGGGAGAGAGAGAGAGAGATCAATGTGAGAGAGAAACATTGATCGGTTGCCTCCCGTAAGCGCCTCAACCAGGGATCGAACCTGCAACGTTTTGGTGTATAAGACAATGCTCCAACCAACTGAACTACCTGGATAGGGCCAGACAAATCACATTCTGAAGCTGACAAAAATTTTTATAAAAGGTGATAGACAGAGAATTGGCTTGGGGTGGTGAGCACAAAATACAGTGTAGAGATGATGTGTTATAGAATCGTGCACCTGAAACTTGTATAATTTTGTTAACCAGTGTTACCTCAATAAATTCAATAGAAAGGAGAAAAGGAAAGAAAAAAATGTGAGTGGTGGTAGGTACAAAGAGTCTTCCCACCCCATCAGCGTGCTTTCGGCCTGCCTTTAAATCTCCAAGGAAGGTGTGGATGGAGCAGGAGGCCCCGATGGCCCCTCACCCCAGGGCCTTTCCGGCGGCCCTGCTGCCTGCACGGTTCCATGGCCAGGAGCTGGCTACCTCGGGCGGCAGGGCCCCACCCGACTACAGACCCGGGTGGGAATAGAATCCCACGGCTCAATTCTAGAGCCCAGCTTCTCCCTCCTCAGTGGCCCCTCTCAGTGCCACTTTCCAGTTTCTCCCCAAAGACATGGATCCACGCCAGGGAGAACTGGGATCCATACCACAGCCTCCAGGAAGAGGTGAGGGCGCCGGAGTGGACACGAAGGCAGGTCTTGTGGCTTCCCTGGGCTGATTTGTCTACAGGAATCCTTCCTGGGACAGATGCCCTACCAGAGTAAGAGGATCCACCTGGCAGAATGGCGCCAAAGAGAGGGACAGGTGAGCAGATGCCAGAGGTGGAAACCAGGCTGGGAAGAGACCGAGGGGGCCGCAAACCCAGGCCTGACATCCCCCGCCAAGGCTGCCCACCGGCCCCTCACCTCCCCAACAGGAACACAACAGGGCCCTGAGCACCAGTCCCTCTGCCTCCTGGGACCATCCCACCCAGACCCACCAGAAGCTGTGGGACCTGGGCCGGCTTCTTTAAAATGTTCCTGAAACCTCCCTTGGAGGCTGCTCTACCAAGGTGAACCTCAAGGGGGAGGCCATTCTTCAGCAGACAGGAGGAGGTGTTGGTTAAGGGAGTAGAGGCGCTGGCCTTGCCTCCAGCGGCCCCTGGGCTGTCCGGTGTGGGCTGGCAGAGATGGGTCTTGTTTACCTTTGCAGCCCGAGGACCCAGCCAGCACCTGGCGTTCAGCAGGTGTCCATGGGTGACTGATGGGATGGAGAATGAAGACTTTCGGTTATGTATAGACGGAAAACTTGTATTTGTCTCTGCTCCTTTTCAAAATCCCACTACAATGGCAATGAATGCATTTTTTAAAAAGCTACACATCCACAGAAGCAAAGAGAAGGAACACAGCAGATTAGAGGTTGTAATAAAATTATAGAAAACAGGAGGCAGATGGACAAGTGGTAACTGATCCAAGTGCGGAAAGTTGAGACTTAAATGCTTTCAAGGATCAGGGACGCGGAGGCTGGCACAGCCCCAAAGCCTATTCCTGTCTCAGGAAGCTCAGGAGGTGGGTGTTGAGTCAGAAGAGTAAGAAGTTAGGAAAATTCCGGGGCAAGTAGAAAGGGGAAACTGAGACAAGAAAATTAAATAAGGCCAAACAGTTTAAGCAATTTACAGCCAGCTGGTGAATTGCAAGACCTTATCTCGCCTAACCAAGGCCTTGAGAGCAAATAGTTCATACCTCTCCTCCCTAATGGGAGAACACACAGCTTCCCTGCCATAAATCACAGGTGCCAAGGAAGAGAGGAATGCTTATGCAAACGGAGAGATAACCCTGGAACTAAAGGCAGGAGCTTGGGAAGAGGCTGCTAGACTCCCCTCCCCTCTCAGCTCACCCTCCCCTCACTGCCAAGAAGCAACAGCACATCTGTGTTCCCCCTGGGAATTTCTCCCTCCAAATTCCCACATTTCCCCTATGTAAATGTAAGTCTGAAAGCTCAAGGGAAGGTGGATGTTAGGGTTTTTATCTGCCACCTTCTCAGATTGCTGGCCTCTGATATTAACGAAAGCAATTATAATCCAATCCCTGTCTCTGCTTTTGGCTGAGCAGTGACAGGCAGCATGAGCCCCGAACTCGGGTGCCCTCTGGTTTCGAGGGCAGAAGATGCCCTGGAGGCTGGAGCACAGGACCCGGGGCAGAAATATAAGAGGACTGGGTAGGGAGTTTGTGGAAGGAGCAATTGCCTCCCCAGACACCCTCTGCCAGGCAGCAGAACAGGCATCTCGAAGCATCTAACCCCTCTGACCCTGGTGGAAGGTTATTCTAGAGATTTGAACCGGAGGGGCCCTGGCCTCTGGGCACAACTCTGGAAGGGAGAAGGGCTGCTCTGAAAATTGGGGAGTTAAGGGAAGAGCGAGACACCTCCGCTCCAGCTCCTTCCCAGGCTAGCTCCTCAAAAACCCACAACCAGGCAGGAAAGACCTGGTACAGATGCCAAATGGCCTGTTTCCAGCCTGGATCAACAGACTCCTGAGGAAAGCCTCTAACTTCAAAGACAGCCTACAACAAGCAAAACCCCTGGATTCCTGGCCGGCCGGGCCATCTTCAGGAAGGCCTCGAGTCTCCCTTACTGTCTTCTTCTCGGACAAAGGCGTCGGGGAGGCCGGGCCACTGCCCAGGCGCCCTGCCGGAGCCCCGAGACACCCTGCCCTGTTCTCCCACACCAGCCCCAACCTCACGTGCCCTAGAGGTGTGCGCCACGGCTCGCCTAGAGTGAGACGTGACCCCTGGACACGAAACCAGCTAGAGTCACTCAGTGCTGGTAAATACTTAACTGACTCTCTGGAAAAAGAAATCCCCCGTTTGCAGGTGTTTGCTGATTTTGATGATGTAAATGCTCCCCCAGCCAATTTCAAAGGACCAACATGACGCCCGCTGATAGTAAGGGCTCTCATGGGAGGTCAGAGCTGGTTCCAGGTCCCCACAGTTCCCCCTGGTTGGCAGTGACCTGGGACTCCCTCAGGCCACTGCGATGGATCAAGCACCCTCTGCCTTCATCCCCTTTTTCTGTGAACTATGGCCCATGAGCCTAGCTAACCTTGGAGGCAGCGCTTCTGGACCAGAGGAGACACTTGAGATGGGAAATCTGGACCCTATCAATACACGGCAAGTCAAAAGTAGCGTTTTTTTAAAATAAAACTAGGCCTGGAGAAGAGACTGCGCTCACTCCCTATGTCACTTCCCCATTCTCCAGGGGCTGCTCCAGCGTGGGGTGAGGGGGCCTCGTAAGGAGCTGGGGCTGCGGTCAGCTGATGCATCTCTTTCCTGTCTCTGGAGGGGCTGCCCAGCCTGGACCAGGGGGAGGACACGGCCAGCCTAGGCTCTGAAGGGGAGCAGGGGCTCCTCTCGGGGTGAGGGGACTAAGAATCAAGTCCTTCCAAGTCTTCAGCCCCCTCTGGACGTAACCTCGCTGTAAAACACCCCACGGCCTCGGCCTCGGCTTGCCCATCACAGTCACCCGTTCCGATGCCGGGGAAAGGAAGAACGAACTTTAATCGCCGTCAGGGAGAGAGAACTCCCTTTACCAGTGTTGATAGCGGGCATGGCACAGAGGTCCTCGCCCGGGGACGGTCCACTGCCATAAAGGGGGCCGGGGGGGCTTCTGGCCGGCACAGGACTAGGAACGCCACAACATCTTGTTAGCAGGAGGCACGTCTAAGCGCTTGCGGGTGTGGTCAGTGTCCCGGTGGTACAGGTAGCCACAAGTAGGCTTCTGCAAGGTGTAGAAGGGGCTCAGGGAGTTGGAGTACTGGGACGTGTAGAAATTGAACCTGAGCTTGTTTGAGTTCTGGCCCCTGGGGTCCACCACCACCGGTACATACGCTGCAGCCAGGGTCTGCTCACGGTCCTGCTTCCATGACCGGGACAGAGGAGCCTTCATCTTTTTCCCTGATGGTGTCTTTGGCCCATAGCTGAGTACTGAGGGTTTCTGTGCGTCCTGGGAGGAAGAAAAGAAGGGGAGAGCTGGGGCATCGGACACTGGTACTTCAACTGCAGGGGCCAGGGGCAGGAGCAGAGGTAAGGGGCCACTGATCAGAGCCCACAGAGCCACCCGGGAGCGCAGCTCTGCTGGCTGTGGAGCCAGGCACCTCCAGGCAGAACCTTCAGGGTTTGCTGACCCGCCCCCTGCAATGCAGACCTCCGCCTGCTTCTCAGAGGCCTCCCCGAATGCAGCAGAGGCTGGGGGCCGGGGGTCATCCTCAAACACCCCTCCTGCTCCTCCCGCTCACCCCTCTGTCAGTGTCCCCCACGTCTCCTCTGGCCCGCCTCTCCCTGCCCTCTGCCACCGCTCCAGTCAAGCACCCCTCCTCTCTCTGCAGAGTCACCCCAGTTTTCTACTCATCTTCCTGCCTCCTATTTGCCTTTCTTTTCAGCCTGTGCTTCGCACGCACATCGAATTCATCTGTCTGCGTTAATGGCCACATGGTGTGGCTCTCCTCCTCAAAATCTCTTTTGGTCTCTGCTACCTAGAAAAGAAAGCCCAAGGCCCCCAGCCTGGAAGGCAAGACATTTAAGGATGGGGTCCCCCGCATCCTGCGTCCCAGCCTTACCGTCTGCTGTGTCCGTACCTGTCACCCCGGCCATTCGCCCTCCCAGGCCTCCAGCTGGGCTCAGGCGGTCTCCCCAGCTGGTGCCCTCCCTCCCTTTCATCAGGGAAATTCCGTCTTTCCCTCTCACCCTTATCCTTGACATAACAGCCTCCAAGGTCCCATTCCTACATTTATTCAAGACCAAAGTATTTATGAGCACACAATAAACATTGGTTCACGTGAACTGAATTCTAACAAGGGGTGCTCCCCTTTTAACCAGCCAGCCTGTTCTATTTTAGAACATCTCTCATTGTTAAGTCTCTGCTACAACAATGCCGCTCTCTGTGACCACCACGCTGGGTGCCCAGGTGTGGAGGTCAGCGCCTCTAGGAGATGCCTGTTGTCATATTTATCCCATTGTCCTGACATTTCTCTCTCTGTCATGCCCCTCCTTGACTGTCCTCTGACTTTTGAAGCCCCACACTATCTCCCAGCTACCGGGTGCCCATTTCACTAGGGATCTTTAGAGCCACGACAGCACAACACACAGGATGGGATGCCTGTGTGCCAGGCTGTCTCTGTCCTGCCTCCCAAGCTACCCCTCTCAGGGGGACCAGGTTCCCGTCGGTGGGGACGGGACGCAGACCCCGGGGAACTGGGAGGGAACACGTAGTTGCAGAATTACTGGATGCTGAGCCCCCGCCATTTTACAAAAGAAATCCCTGGTACTCCAGCCATAATGTACACTCCTTTGCACTTAATTTACAAACCATTTGCACAATTCAAACATGCCCAGGGCTTTCCTCAAGGCAGTCTTTACTCCTATATATTCCGACTCAGGAGTGTGTTCTATGCGCCCCAGCTTTGCATTTCAAAATTCTCATCCTTCCGAGCCTCTGACACTGCAGCCCCTCCCCCTCTCCCCGTCCTCTGCGCTTCAGGTGCTCCTCTCGGGATGTGATCTTTCCTGGGCTGGGACTAGGGTGAGGCAAGTGTGTCAATTTTAAGGAGGTGCTCACTCTCAGAGTCCTTCAAGAGCACAGTGAGTGTTTCCTTGCATTTGGCACCTGAATGCTGTGCTTGCTTCGTTCTATTCCCAAACCGGGGCCCTCTGGGCTCCTGCTAGTGTTCCAACAAACCTTCAAACCACTCCCAGTGGTCAGTGTCACATCCTAGTCACCTCTGTGTCTCTGGACCTTAACCCAACAATGCTGGCACACAACCAGGCTGGAAGAGGGGCTGGAGCAAGAGTTCAGCAGCCTTCCAGACTCTTCCAGGTTGGCCTCGGGATTCAGCATTACAAGCAGACGGTCAAGCACCAGAAATGAGCTGTGATGGCGGCCATCAAAGATCTTTCCCACCAATGGTTATGGGTGCAGTGCCAAAGGAAGTGTGAGGATCCAAGAACCCAGAACCAAAATCCAACATTTAAAACGCCAGTGTTCTAGTCAAACTGGACAATCTGGCTACCTGGCCCCCTGGCGAGGCTGGGGGTTGAGGAGGGCAGCCTTGGCAGCTCACCTGCCGCCCAGCACACCTGGCAGCAGCTCAGCGAGTGGATGGAACGAGGGCAGAAATGACTTGGTAGGCCCTGCCTACCTCACATTAATCCTTTAAGGAAGGTACTATTATTAATCTCATTTTTAGTTGAGGAAATGAAGGAAGGAGGTTAGTTACATGTTCAGGGTCATGTGGTTGGTAAAAAGCCAGGCTGGCATTTGAACCCAGGCTCGGCTAACCCCAAGGTCCACACCCTATACTCCACGATGCATCCTGTGTCCACTGCGCTGTACACAGGGCCTACCAAGTCATTTCTGCCCTCGTTCCATCCACTCGCTGAGCTGCTGCCAGGTGTGCTGGGCGGCAGGTGAGCTGCCAAGGCTGCCCTCCTCAACCCCCAGCCTCGCTAGGGAGCCAGGTAGCCAGATTGTCCAGTTTGACTAGAACACTGGCGTTTTAAATGTTGGATTTTGGTTCTGGGTTCTTGGACCCTGCACAGACAGGAAGGTGCCCTTAGAAGTGTGAGGTCTATATTGCAAATTACCATCTCTTAGCAGAGATGAGGATATGACAATGGTTGGTTCATTCATTCATTCATTCAGAACTCTCCCTTTCGTATGCCAGGCTCTGGGTGTACAAGTAACAAAGACGTCACACATACGGACACAAATACATGCAGGAAGCCCTGTAGAGCAGGGCTTCTCATCCTTCACACCATTGACATTTTGGGCTGGATAATTCTCTTATTTTTAATTTTTTTTTTAATCCTCACCCAAAGACATTTTTTTCATTGCTTTTAGAGAGAAAGGAGGGGAGATAGGAAGGGAGAGAGAGAGAAACGTCAATGAAAGAGAGAAACATCAATTGGTTGCCTTTCATGTGCACCGAGACCAGCGATCAAGATCTCAACCCTTCGCTTATGGGACAATGCTCCAGCCAGCTGAGTCACACCGGCCAGGGCTCGGCTGGATAATTCTTTGTGGAGGGGGCTGTCCTGTGGTTGCAGGCTGGTAAACAGCATCCCTGGTCTTTAGTCATTCTACCCACCTTCCAGTTGTGGCAGACAAAAATGTCCTTCATCATTGTTAATGCCGCCTGAGGGCAGAGAGAACCACTGCTATGGAGTCCGGGACAATCTCTTTATCCACAGTGTTGAGGCTGACAGCCTGGCCCAGTAGAATCTTCCCCTTCCTGGGCCACAGAAGGGTCTCAGGTTTCTTCCTGTTAAGCATGACTCTGAGGGTGTGGGGTTCTTGTCCTCTGGACACGGCAGAAGAGCTCAGCCTGGGGCTACAGAGACAAGGGAACAGCAGAAGCCCTACCCCCCGCCTGCACCTGCTCCCCACCCCAGCCTTCAGCCTTGGCCCCTGAAAGCTGCACCTCGGGCTTGGGAGGCTGGTGTCCGGGGTAACAGAGGCAGATGCTTCAGAATGGTTGGGGGTCTTTCCAGAGACCCCACAGAAGGAAGGAAAGGCGACACTCTTTACTCACAGAGTTGAGCACCTATCAGGTGCCAGGCACTAACCCCTCAGTTCGGCAAAAGCTGCTGAGAGCCATTTGAGATGTCGCTCCCAGTTTTCAAGTGCAGAAGCTAAGGATCAGGGGTGCCCGAGTTCACACAGCAGTGGGATGGTGTGTGAGAAGTTTGCAGAAGTCCCACGACTAGTGACTAGTTAGCACGGGAACCACAAGTGAACACTCTGCTCCCTCTCTGCGCCGGCTCAGGCCCCGGCCTGGGCCCACTGCCCTGGGCCCACCAGTCGGCAAGGTCCCAGCTGCTGCTGCTGCAACAGTCAGGACCCTGGTGGGGGGCCCCGGGGCCCCAAGCACATCCAGGGACGAGGCCCTCACAGAAACTGGGACAGAAGGACAGTCTCCAGAATGAGGAAGAAGAAGAGGAAGAAAGAAAGGAGGAAGAGACAACATTGGGCAAGGAAGATGAGGAGGAAGGGAGGGAAGCCCAGGGAGCCTCAGGCTTGCCCTGCCCCTTCCAGGGGCCTGGGGAGGCTCCAAGTGACTAACCTCTGAGGGCTGAGAACACCCCATCCCCTCCCAGGGCCCAGCACGGCAACTTTGGAAGGAGGGTGCGGCCTGGGCTGCATACTTTCTAGGTTAACATCTGGTTTCATTTAGCCGTCTCCTCCCCAGTGAGGTCCTCCCTGTCAAGTGCTTGTGGGGCGGGGGGAGGGGTACGGGAGGTGGGGTATGACTTTAGAAAACTGGTTCTCCGCTGGCGCGGATTTTTCCCCCAGGGGCCGTTTGGCAATCCTAGAGACATTTTTGGTCGTCACAAGTGGAGGGTGCTGCTGGCACCTAGTGGGCTGAGGCCAGGGATGCTGCTAAACCTACCAAGGTGCACAGAGATCAGCAAACAATGGCAGGAGTGCCGAGAACTGAGAGACCCAATTCTGCGTTAGAGGTTTGAGGAAGACCCCCTCTCCCCTACCTGTTTCCTGCAGCCCTGGCTTAAGCTTCCCATCCCACAGGGAACAATGGATCTTAAGGCAGAGGGTCCCACCAGCCCCTTCCCTTCCTGTTTTTCAGTTGGGGTTCGAGCTAAAGCCAAAAGAAGGAATCCAAGTAGAACTCTCCCTCCATACCCTGCACTACCATGGGCAGAACCCAGCAGGGCCTTTTAGATAGACACACGCCTGTGTTTGTCCCTTATACCAGAGCTTAGAATGGGGAAGAGGGTGACTCAAGAGTGGAGTTTCCCAGGTAGGGCCAGGAGACCTCCTATGTGACATTACTACAGGTCCCCTGGGACGACACTCTGTCCAGGCCCCCTGGCACGTCCACCAGCCTGACCCGTGGCTGACATTCCACCATCAGCACCTCCCTCTGGTAGAGGGCCTCCTCCCTGCTGAAATGCAAATTGCATTGGGTGAGGCCTCTGGTTAGGTGTCCGGGGCCCCTGGGTCTGTGGAATGTGCCTGGGTCTTGGAGGCTGAAGGCCTGAGCTTGAGGCCGACTCTGCCCTTACAGGTCAGGCAACCTTGGCCAAGTGGCTGAACCTCTTTGAGCTTCAGTTGCTTCATCTGCAAAACGGGGATAATAAGGCTGTTATCGACTTCATCAGCTTACTGTGGAGGTGCTGTGCGTGTGGGAACTGTGCAAGCACAATGTAAATGGTGATTATCATCAGCCTGGTTTTGAGCACACTCTTCTGAACATTTTTGAGTGTGTCCATCTGTGCTGAGGGCAGAGGGGCTCGGAAAGGCTTAGATGGGGAGGGGGCAGATGGGGCCTCAGCGTCCTCATGAGGCAGTGTGGCCTGGGGGCCTGGAGTTCAAATTCCAGCTCCACCACCCACTAGGTACCTGATGTTTTGATATTATAAATATCTGCACCTCAGTTTTCCCACCTGGGAAGTGGGAATAACTAGAATCTATCTTATGAGGGTTTAATGAGATATTTCATGTAAAGTATCTAGGCCTCTCGTGCACTCTAAGATTTAGCCACGACAAAGGGTAATGCAAACCAGGAGTCCCAGGAGTGTTTTGGGGAAGTGACGGGGCAGAAGAACCAGAGGAGTTGAACAGTGGCCCACTTTCTGCTTCCCACCAGCCTCAGGGAACAAGAGTTGGGCAGTGATAGTGGCCCCCCAAGCCTTTCATTAAGAGCCCCCGGCTCCTAGCTGCCCAGGTGGGCCAGGCTGGGGCCTTCGTACTCCTTCCTGCCAATCAAACTTCTTGTGACCTTGGGCTGCCCTGATCTAGCTCTGTGATGTCATCCCACCTGGCTCATCCTTGACCAGGGCCTTCCTTGGTGGTAAGATGGCACTGCTGGTGGCCGGGGGCTCCAGGGCTCCCAGGGTCTCTTGGGAGGCTACTGGGAGTGCTAAGGTGGGGAGAATTTTTGTGGGTAGCGTTATTGTGATGCCTGTTTGAGAACACAATTCCATCTGTTTTCCTAAGGAGACACGGGGGTAGGGCTGGGAGCTGAAGTTTCAAGGCCTGGAAGAGTCTTTCTTTTAACCTTGATACTGACTCACTCTGCGATTTCCTCTTCCCCTGACAGGTTGTGGGAAGTGGGGTAAGTAGTGAGAAGAGGAAATCATCCTAGCTATCTAGGTAGCTCCAGAAGTCCTTAGTCCAGGAGCCCAGCATGTCCTAAGAGGCCCCTGGCAGGGAGGGAATGTACCCAGACAACTCACCCTTCTCTTTCTTTCTCTCTCTTTCTACCTGCCCTCCAAATTACAGAGATGATGGGTGGGTGGGTGGACATATGCGAGTGGGAGAGTAGAGTGCACAGGTAGAGTGTGGGTAGATGGATAGATGGCAGATGGGTGGTCACTCCTGATTTGAGCCCTGCTCACCTTTTTAGCCTCATCTCTTTTCTCCATGCAGTAGCTAATTTCTTAAACATGCACGGCTCTCTCTCCTCTGAGCTTTAGCATATGCTATTCCCTCTCCTGGACCACTTCAAATAGGGGATTAGGAGATGCAGGGATGGATGGATAGATGGGTAGAGGTGGCCGGGTAGGTTGGCCATGGGTGAGAAGAGGGGTAGATGGTCAGTAAATGAACAGAGGATGGGACTACAGACCCAGGAGTCAGATTCTTTGAGCTTGAATCCTGGATCTAATATTTTGCTCAGTGCGTAAACTCGGGCAAGTAATTGACCTCTCTGTACTTCTGTTTGTTCATGCGTAAAATGAGTGGACTAAAGGTCCTTATCTAATAGAGCTGGACAAGCACTTAGGACAGTGCCTGGCACAGGATACGCGCGCAGTAAATATTAGCTGTTATCATGTGAGGGTGGGTAATCGGAATGATGGGGGATTGCCGAGTGGGCTCTCCTCTCACCATCATCAAAAACCAGACCCCCCTCCTCCTTGGGGTACCATCGCCCAACATCAGACATGGTGGGCACCTCCCAGGAATGTGTCAAATATCCCACACGTAGAGGGACCTAGGCTTCTTCTTGGGATTGAGGGGTGGGCTAAGGGGAGGGAAACAGCAAGCTGGTGACTTCCTGCCCTCTGTCACACTGGCTTGGGCTGGGCCCAGCACTTGTTTCCTTCCTGGCACTGTGTCAGCCCTGACTATTGGTTATGGGGTGGACTTTGGGGCCCACAGGCAGGTTGGAAGTTGGGGTGTTAATGACTTGTGCACTGTGCTCAGATCTCACACCCTGATGGTAATGACCCCTAATTTCTGAGGAGGCTGGGAGGGACAAGGAGGGGAGGCTGGCAGGGAGGAGGACGGAGGAGGAGCAGCAAGCAGGGCTTGCCCTGCTGGCTCCTCTGATATGGGATGCCCAAGGCTCTGGACGATAATATCTTGCTTGGGAAAGGGAGGGGAGGTGGGAGCATGGCATTCTGGGAGCAGCGGCCAGCAGCTCTGGCTTTGGGGAAGGTGGCTTGGGTCCCAGAACTGTGAGGAAGGAGCCCAGGAGGCTGGGGTGGGGACGTTTGGGGGACTAGGGCACCATGACTTAGCAGACGTTACACTCCTCTCAGCCCACGAGGGGCTGAAGTGCTGGGCTGGGCAAGAGTCCTGGGTGACCTGAGATAAGTCCCATCCCATCTCTGAGCCTCAGTTTCCTTATGTGTACACTGAGGATGTTGGGTCCTTCCATCTTGGACATTTGAAGGAGGGGGAATTGAATTACTTCCTGAGGGCTTCAGGCAGGGGCCCCCCTTGACTGACCATGGGACTGGGCCCTGCCAGGGGTGTCCCCATCCCAGGCCTTGTCACCCTTGCTGTAGGAACCACAACAAGGGGCAGTGGCTTGGGAGACCTCCTTCAGGGAGGCCTGGCTAGTCAAGCCTTATCTGTCTTTCTTCATGTGTAAATCACAGAAGGGTAAGTTCATGGCCTCTGAGCCCACTCTGCCTGGATTCAAACCCCAGCTCTCCTCTTCTGTGTGACTTTCACAAATCATTAACCTCCCGGGGCCTAAATACCTAATCTGCAAAACGAGGCTGATAAAAGAAGTTACCTGGAATGCTTGTCGTGAGGATGATAGGAGTTCAGAGCAGTGTTTGCTACAAGATGAGTGCTAAGAGTCGTGTTGTTATTATTTCTAGAGCTCAAAGGACATTGATTCAGTCCTGCCTTCCGGAGGCCCCTCTTTCTCTGACTCCCCTGCCACAGCCCTCACATGACCTAATGTTATTTATTATCAAAGTTCCTGGAAGGTAAGAAATGTAATCTGTACCCACAGTGCCCAGCGGGTGTTTGGGAGGGATGCCGAGAGCTAGCGAGGCTCAGGGCTGGCCTGGCTCACAGGACGATCCACTGACCACCCCGACACCCGGCCACACACAGAGCCTCCACCTCTCCTTCTGCTGTGGAGGTCGCGGGCAGATGGTTTTAAGTGCCCTGCTACTGCCTTACTCTAAGTACGCCTGGTTACTTGAACATTCTCTCCACCCCACGTTACCTGCTGTGTGATTTGGACAAATTACTTAACCTCTCTGACCTTTACTTATTCTGATTCTTATTTTTCCTTTGTTGGACCTCAAGTACAGGAGGCCTCTATTGATGGGGCATGAGGGCCTCCTCTCTCATTGTATTAATTTCTCCCCTTTATCTCCAGTTTCCAACCACACTCCCCACCCGCCCTAGCCAGAGGCAACCATTCTCACGAGCTTAATGAGTATCTTCTTGTTCATATGTGTTCTTGCAAAGTATACATACTGTTGTTTTGTATGCAGGTCTTTTTTATTTACATAAGTGGCAAGTGTGTTTTAGATCTCATTCTGTTTACTTTGATTGCTCCCTACTCTTTTAAGATTCACCTGTGTTGCTACACAAGCATATAGTCCCTTGCTTCCAATTACTGTGTAAGTTCACTAAGTGCATTCACCACATTTTATGCCTCTAATCTTCCAGGGATGGACCCCCAGTTGCCTCCAATTCCTCATCCCCACAAACAGCACGGCAATGACATTACATCCATGTCCCACTATGAACCTGGGTGAAGCCATATTCCCAAGAGCAGAATTGATTGGTTGTAGAACAAGAGTAAATGTCATTTGGAGTCGTCTTTTCTCCATCCATAAAATGGGTGCATTGCGCCCTCCCTTGCGGGGCTGACGTGACAGTAGTGAGTTAATGTGTGTAATCCCCCCCCCTCCCCGTGTCTGACACAGAAAGATGCTCAATGAATGGTAAATGTGGCTGCTTTTCTTCCCAGGTCTCAGGGAGAGAGAGAGAAATAAGTGGACCTAGGACGAGTTGCATAGAAACACTCCCAGAGCTCAAAGTCCCAGTTCAAGCGTTGGTCTCCAAAATACATGAGAACTGTGTGGGGTGCTGCTGTACTAGAGGATAAGGACTGATCTTGAGTTTAAAAGCTCCCACAGCCCCAGTGCAGGGCCTGGTTCAGAGGAGATGGATGTGCCGAGGAAATGCTATTGCATCATTTCATTTCTTACCTCTTTCCTCAGAACCAGAAGCAGCCTCCCCACACAGGAGGTGCCAGGCATTTGCTGTTCGGCCAGTCCACTAGCGTTATAACCAGATGTGAAAGCAGCCTGGTGTTGGAGCCCACTGTCCCACTTGGCAGGTGGAGAGACTGAGGCTCTGGAAGGCTCCATCGTCTCCCAGGAGGTGAGTGGCAGAAGGGCACTAAAATCCACATTTCTAGGTCCCTCCTCCAGTGCTCTTTAAAAACAAGAAAATGTGCTCCAAGTTCAACTATGTTCTTTATTATTTGTAGAGTTTAAGTTAAAACAAATGATCTCCCAACAGAGCATATTACTAAAAACTAAAACTCCCCACAAAGGTGCCCTGGCATTCCAACTGAACCTCTTCCACTGTCTGTTTCCTCCCATTGCCTACCCATGCACAGGTGCACTTTAAATGTTTATAGCTGAAATCTACATAGAATATTGGTGTTTGTGCATAACATTACTTTTAAACACACACACACACACACACACACACACACACACACACACACACACATTATCTTAGATTGTAGAATGTGTCCTATAATGGGATGTTTTTGCCTGGCCGTCAAGGTGACCTTGCAGACACCTGCCCCACCCTGTCTCCTGGGCCCTGGTAGAATTTGCTTTCTTGAGGCTCTTTGTTGAACTGGCTCTGCACTTTTGCAGCCTCTCATGGCCTCTGTTCTGTCTTCGCATTCTCTGCTTAGCATCTCTGTGCCCAAAGTCAGAGTAGAGAAGGGGGACAGGGACACTCAGGTGCTGAGTTCCTACTATGAGTCAGACTCTCTTACAGGTCCTTTAACCCACCATCTCACTGAATCTCATAACAACCTTCCACTAATAGCCCCGGTTTTGCAGATGAACAAACTGAGGCTCACACTCTCAGGCACCAGGTAACAGCTTCCCCGAGCCCCCTGTCAGGATGCAGGAGTCCACACCAGCCAGGTTTCCTCGGCTCAGAGGAACGCCCAGGCAGGGGGATTGCAGCCCACCCGTCCTGCAGGCCAAAGGAAGTGGTCTCCGGAGCCGGTCTGGCATCAGGCGTCTGCGTCCTGGAACAAGACAATGGACAAGATGACTGCAGCTCATTTGGGAGGTGGGATGACTTTGGCCCAAGGAGAGCTAGCTGCAGAGGCCTGGGGCGATGATGACAGTGACTCTCGGGACTCCTCAGCAGGCGCTTCCCCGACTCAGAGTCGCTCACCCAGCCAGGAGCACTGGGCTTTGTTTGAGAAAAGACCACAAACTTGACAGAGGCCCGAGTTTCTGTGAAGACTGCCACTCCCTGGCCCCAATCCCACCCCACATTCCAGAATTGGCCAGTAACATGGGCTCTTGGAAGTTACTAAGTAATTGCCGGGCAGAGGTTTAATTACAGGATTGGGCTTTGGGCTGTTTCGAGGGGAGCCTATTATTTGGCTGTTTCTTTCCTGGGGGGAGCAGGTGTAAGGTGTTGTTATTAGATAGAGTGAGGGCCGCGCAGCAACATGTTGTACAGGCTGCTGAGCTGGACAGAGAAATAAGCCCCAGCCCTGCCCCAGGGAACCTGGCTGACAGGGCCAAGCCTCAGCTGGGGGTGGGGGGGCACTGCTCACCTCTGAACCCAGGCTGTCCAGAGAGTCCCCTGAGTCCCCCCAGCATGGGAATGAAACTGGGGTAAAAGGGGTGTGTAAGGGCAGGGAGGGCCTTGGCAGCCAGACTGCAGGCTCAAGCCCTTCTCGTGCTCATATGTCACCCAGGTTTCCCCTTTTCTTCCTGTCCCAAAAGGCAAGGAGCACGCCAGTGTGGAGAAATGAAAAACCCTCAGGGAGCGCCCCTGTCCCGGGCACTTCTCATCCATTATCTTATTTCATCTTCACAACAACCGGGATGGGTGCTGTACCCCTCCCACGCCACAGCTGAGGGAACTGGCTCAGAGGGGGGTTTTTTTGTTTTGTTTTGTTTCACTTCTCCTCCTTCTACGTGCAAACTGCTTACCTTCCTTTCTTCCTAAGAAATGTCCTGCAAACTAAAAACTCTGCTCTGTTTCTGTCTCCAGCACCCAAGCCCGTCCCCATCCCCTCCTGCTTGTATCAACTAATCACCTGATCACCCAAATGACCGATGAATTAAGCCCCTTCCCCTTAGCCTCTCAGCCTACACTTTCTCCTTCCCATCGAGGCTTCATCCAGACCTTAGGCGAACACCCTTCAAACATAGCTGTTACCGGTCACCCTCGCCTGCTCCCAGAAGCCACAGCTTCTCAGACTTTAACAGGCTCCTGAATCACGTGGGGATCTTGTTAAAACAAAGATCCTCTGCCGGCTACCTTAACACACCAGCTCACTGAAACTCATAATGACCTTAAATTAATAGCCTGTTTTACAGATGAACAAACTGAGGCCCAAAGAGGTTGCCCAATGTCTGGGATGGGGCCAGAGTGTCTACCTTTCTAGTAAGATCCCAGGTGGTGCAAATGCTACTGGTTTATGGACCACATTTCTAAACCAAACTCTTCTCCCTAGTTATTTTTCTTTAGTTTTTTAAAATCCTCACCCAAGGATGTGTTTATTGATTTGAGAGAAAGAGGAAGGGGCGGTGGGAGGGGGCGGGAGATAGAGAGAGAAACATTGATGTGAGAGAGAAACATCAATTGGTTGCCTCCCATAGGTGCCCCAACCCGGGATCAAATCTGTAACCTTTTTTGGTGTGTGGGGCGATGCTCCAACCAACCGAGCCACCAGTCAGGGCACTTTAATTTTTAAATAGGAAATACATTTATATGGTTGGAAATTTAAAAATATAAAAAAAGCATTCAGTGAAAATTCTCCCTCTCATGTCTATCCCCTGATTTGCCCAGTTCCCCCCTTCACCCCCCAGTAAACACTTCTATTCATTTCTTATGGATCTTTCCAAAATGTCTCTGTGCCAATAAAAACAAATAAGATCATTCTTATCCTGCCCCAAATGGTAGCATACTACACACACCGTTTTGTCAACAGTTTATCAGTTTATCTTGAAGATAACTGGACACGGTCAGCTGACTCATTCATTTTTAGAGTTGCATTGTTATTTCAATGTGTGGCTATGCCATAATTTATCTCATCAGTCACCTCCAGGTGAACAATTTGAGTTGTTTGTGATCTTTCCGGCTGACCTTTTTAAGCCTTCCCCTGCTGACCATCCTGGCTGGGACCTCCCTCCTACTCCCCACGCCTCAGCTCCCCAGCCCTGAGCTCCTGCGGGGCCTTCACTCCTGCTGCCCGCCCTCCCCTCTCCTCCCCGGCCAGGGGCCCAGTCGGACTGCGCCTCCTGAGTCTCTAACCCACTGTTAGTCTCCTCCTCTTCGTTTACGCCCCCACTCTAATCTCTCCAAATAGACTAAAGCAACTGAACTTGGGAACCATCACTTTGATGTCTCTGGATCTTCCACAGCAGTTCTCAAGAATATCAGTTATATAGTGAAAGATGCGTATGAATGGAGCCACTCACTGAGGGCTCTGCTGGGGCTGGTTCTGGGTGTAATAATCCAGCAGCTACTCCAGGTGGGAGGGACTTCATACCTCAGAGGTTTCCAAGAAAGAAACCCTTATCTTGTGCCTGAGTGTCTAGAGCACCCGGGTGGGCTGTGAGGATGCCTGGGGCATGAGGGGGCAGCTGGGGTTCTCTCGTGTCCTTCTTGGGGAGGCAGCGGGAGGAACCATGATGCGGAGACAGGAGAGTGGAGGGATGGATGGCATGGGTATGTGTGCCCTGAATGAGCTCCTTCCCTTCCTGTTAACATCCTTGTCATCCTTCACGGGCCAGCTCAAGTCTCAGTTCTTCCAAGAAGCCCTCCTGAACTTCTCCAGCCCCCGTTGACCTCCTCTCCTCTGAATTCACACTGTGTGTACTAGTGACAGCAACCACTATTCTGTGCTTAGTCTTCGTGGCCTGCCACCTCGAATCATGTAAAACCTTATCTCCATGATGAGACCCCAACACCCTCTCTGGTAGAAATAAGACTTCTCTAATTCTCTCGTATCCCCACGTACCCCAAGCCCTTGGCACGGCCTCGGGCAGCTGGGAGAACCTCCGCAGGTGCTCCTTGAAAGGTCGGGAATCGGTCCCAGGAGGGTCATGGTGGTGGGGGGGGGGGGACAGGGTTGACCACAGGTGTGCCTCCAACCCAAAGGATGTCGGGAACACCTCACAGCCACAGCCTCTGAGGGTCTGACTCATCCTGTCCATTAAAGCTGGAGCCAGTCAAGGGGACTTTTCAAAAATGTCACTGTCATGAAAGTAAAGGCATAGGGCTGTGCTAAATTAAGCGATTAAAGGGACATGACAAGCAATGCAATGTGTGAATCTTGTTTAGACTGTGGATTAAAAAAAATAAAACCTTTTGGGAGATGATAATAGTGTGTCAATGTTAAATTTGAGTGTGATGAGTGTATTGTGGTCACTTAGAAGAATGTCCTTATTCTTAGGCAATGGAAACTGAAATATTGGTTGGGGTGGGAGATGTGCCATGATATCCACGACTTTTAACCTTCAGCAAAAGGAAAATAAAATAATAAGCGTGCTTGGAGACAGATGCAAATGCGGCAGCATGTTAACAATGGGTAGACCCAGGAGGAAGGAATACAGGTGGTCATTTTACGGGTCTTTCATATTTTCCCAGAATGAAAAGCTGAGGAGGGAATACCTTTGGGACAAAGGGAGACACAGTTAGTTTCAGCCGCCTGGGGGAAAGAGAAGGGGAACGGCGGCCAGGGCGCTGACCCGGGGGCTGCAGGAGCAGCGCCGGCTCCGACAGATCACCAGCCCCCGCCCTCCGCTCCTGCTGCCCAGGAAGCATCAAAACCTAACCCCGGGGCCAGACTCTCCCTGCGCGCCGGGCGGCTGTCACAGCATCCCCGGGGGTCCTCACCGGACCTTCCGCAGCGGACAGCCACTCCCCGCCTTAGCTAGGATGGGTATCCTGTGCCCATGAAAGGTTCACAGCTCATTTCCCAGAAAAGTGAACCCAACCCTACGTGGGATGGACCCATCGTGAGTTTTTAAAAGTTATATTCACTTAACTTTACAGAAAAAAGAAATTTTGACATACAAAGAAAACGCCAATATTAATCATCCTACGTTCTCTTTGGAGGTCTGTCAATGGAGGTATTTTCCGCCTTTGTCATCAGACTGGGAAGCTGGTTTATTCCTTCCCGCCGCCCCTGCCCCGGGGCTCAGAGTTCTCCCTTAGGGGCATTTCCTTGTAGCCACTGAAGGCTGGTGGCCCACATTTTCGAGGGCTTGCGGGACCCTTCAGCTCGCTTTAGCCAGCCGTCTCCCCGCTGTTGGGCACAGCCGTTCCCCAAGTGCCCATTCTGACCTGGTCATGACCCTCCTTAGAAGCAAGGGACTGGCCCGCTTCCTCCCTTCCCCAGGGAGGCGCGGGTGGAGGAAGAGGGCCAGGAGGGGACCTGGGGAGGGGGCGGCTCTCCTTCCAGGCCGGGCGCGGGCTGGGCGAGGTCCCCAGCCCACTGGGCCGTGCCAACAATGGCCTGTTGTAGACGGAGGCGGGCAGGAATGCGGCCGGGGGAGTTGGGCGGCCGCGGGGCGGGGCCGTCCCAGCCGCAGCCTCTTACCTGTCCAGGTAGCTCGCATTTCCTGGCGAGCGGCGGGGCCCGCACCACCTGTCGCCCGTCGCGCGGGCGGGGAGGACTGCGGGGAGCATGGTCTGGTAGGGTGCCCTGAGGAGACGGTGCGGGGCTCAGTGCAGGGCAAGGCAGGGCAGGGCAGGGCAGGAGGCCGGGGGACGGTCCTCCCCCGGTGCCCGCGCGGCCTGCGGCAGCATGAAAAAGAGCCAGACAGTGCAGGGCACCTTCAGCAAAATCTTCGGCAAGAAGCATGCCAACCCAAACACCACCTCTCTCTACGCGACCAATCCTCCCTGGATTTTCACCCAAGAGGCCCCGGAGGAGGGGACCAGGGACTTCGGTAAGTGCACCCGGGGAAGAGGGTGGCGGCCCCCGCGCTGGGAGGCGGCCGGCAGCGCTCCGCGCTACGGCTCCGGGCTCTCGGCAGGGCGCGGGGCGGAGGAGAAGGGACGCGTCGGAGCCTGCGAACCCGCCTGCAAGCAGCTGCCGAGAAGGGGAGGCGGCGCCGCGGGGTGTCTCCGGGAACGGGCCGTGAGGGGACAGGGGTGCGCGGAGGGGACTCTCCCCGTGGGAGAGCGGAAACCTTTGCGGTCCGCGTTGGATCCTAGTCCCTCTTCCCAGGTGTTTATTTTCCCTCCTGGCTGGACGTTAGGGTTGTGTCTCCTGAAGGCTTTCTGGGGCTTGCAGGGGCCCCTCCTGCTGCGGCAATACAGTGGAGTCTAAAGTGCCACTCACAACTGAGGGCTAGGGGTGGTTCTTTCAACCCTGACCCTGTCTTCTCTGTTCCCTACTGTAATTCCCCACCCCTTCTCCCAGGGTTATAGGTAGGCAAAGAGAGGGGCTGCTATCTGGGCACCTACACACTTGGCCCTGCACAAGGGAGGCCCTGGAAAAGTCAACAGGAGCCACTGCTAGCAGAGTACCAGCCTGTGCAAGACACCAGCTCACTTTTTGGGGCCTGGGTTATCTGCGTGCTCAGATCTGGAAGCCAGGGATGGAACAGTGAGGCCAGGAAAGCCCCTCCTGACTGTGAACCTGCCCCCTGAGCAGGTATCTCTCTGCAGGCATCTGAAAGCACCCTGCCGCCCCAGCCCTGGGGCTCTGGCTGTGGGTCGCCTTACTGCTGCCCCTTTCTGCCTTTTGTGCCCTCTGTAAGTGAAAGGAAACCAGGCAGGTAGGGCTTGCCTATGATCCAAGGCTCTGGACCCAAGGAGGGTTCCCCATCGGTGCTTTAGCTCACCTTAAGCTTCACTGTCCCCCCATTACCTTCACTGACCTTTATGGCCATTTTGCCCAGAACCACAGAGGATGGTACAGTCTCAGCCCCTGCTACTGAACTCAGTTCGGCACCTAGGCTGTCACCGTAGGGACACTAGCCACCGGGACAGGAGTAAGGCAAAAAGATATCGCCCCTCCCTGGCCCATGCATCCCAAACCAGTAGGTAAACAGTTAACCATATGCCATTTAGCCCTTCCTAAGCCTTTGCCATAAAAGATTAGGTGCAGAAGGAGTAGAGAGGAAAGATGACCTCTGATTGCAACTAGTATTTGAACTGAAAGGGAAGGGCAGAGAGCATTTTGCAGAACAAACAGCAGGAGCAAAGGCTAGGAGGGGCTGGTGGTTTGGAGGCTCAGTTTAGAAACATGCAAATACATGTGTGCGGCCAAGTATAACTCTCTGAGGCCCAAACGCCTCCCCTCACCTGTGTAGCAAACATTTATTGATCTCCTTAGGTGCAAGGTACCATTCTAAAGTCCTCACATTGTTGACTTGTTGAATCCTCATCTAGCCTATGTTGCAGGAACTATTATTCCTGTTTGACAGATGAGGAGACTGAGCCACATGTCCCAGATCACACGGCTTTAAACGGCCAAGCCCAGATTTCCTTAAATGTACAATTTAATGATTTTAGTAGACATACAGAGTCATGTAACCTTGACCACAATTCAGTTTTAGAACATTTCCATTACCCCAACATCTCTCCCGGGAGGCAGAGCCAATATTTGAACACAGGCGGTCGGGCTTCAGGGACCACACTCCTAGCCAGCTTGCTGAATTGACTTTTTGGAAGGTGATTCAAGGGTGAATTTGACTTGAGAGGCCATCTGCCTGAGAACCACTCCCCCTGCCCCACAAGCCCCCCACCCCACCACACACACACACTTCTCTACATTTTTGCCTGCACTGGGCTGGCTGCTGGTGGGGGTCATTCCCCCAGTGAGAGAAATAGGGGCACGGTGCCGTCATCTTCAGCCAGCTGCGCCGCCTTCACCAGCCTGGGCAGAGCTGGAACCTGGGGCTGCTCCTCCCATTCCCCGGTTGGGCCGGGTCCCCAGCTGACTCAGCCTGGCTGCACTCTGCACATGGAAGGCTGGGAAACAACGCGCAGCTGGCAGGATGGCTCTGCAGTGTTTCTGGGGTGTCTTCCCCTGCCCCTCTCCCCTGGTGCTGGTGGGTGTGGCAGAGGTCTTCCACCCTGCCGAGCAGGACAAGTACTTGGAGTTGGCGATGAGAGGGACCAGTGTTGGGGATTCTGTGATGTGATGGAGATACCAGACCTGCCTTGGGGTCCTGTCTCTGTCAATAATGGAACTAGCTACTCTCTGGACCTCAATTTTTTCTTCCGTTAAATGGGGATGGTGTCCAGTCTGCCTACAGACGGCGGCTTGAGGTGTGTATGTGGCAGTTCTTTGAAGAGCATTAAAAAGAAATGCCCTAAAGCAAGGATTGGCAGATTATGGACCCAGCTCAAATCTAGCCCATGGCCTGTTTTTGTAAATAAAGTTTTATTAGAACGCAACCAGCCTTGCCCATCATTTCCATATTGTTTACGGCCAATTTCCTGCTACAATGGCAGAGTTAAGTAGCTGCAGTAGAGATTAGATGGCCCACAAAACTGCAAGTATTAACTAACTGGCCCTTTATTTTTGCCGGTTCTTTCCCAACCCTGAGCACTCCCTGCCTTTGCCTGCTTCAGTTTCTCTTCCTAACATTTCTGCAGACCAGAGGGAACTGAGGCATGAACAGCTATCCTAAGATCTTATCGGGTCCCTGAGTCTGTGACATTCTCTTCAATGCTGGTGGTATCCAGCCCTTGGAGAACAAGTGGTAGGATGGAAGGGGGAAATCAATCTGTGTGTGTGTAAGGGAAGTAAGGAGTAGCCGCTTGCTCTGTGGCTACAGCCTTGTTGTGAAAATCTGTTTGCACAAAGGTAGTCTGGGTGCAGCAGGTAAAATGCGGTCATGGGAAGGTGGTGACAGATAAATTTTTCTTTAAAGAATGTCCTTAACATTTATTCCAGAAACTTACTTCACGTGAGGGCTTCACTCACTGTAACTGCTATCCTAATTAAACTGCCTGCCTTCCCCCAGCCCGTGGAAGCCTCTTCGGCTGCACAATTCTTTTTCAAATGCACAAGAAAGCAGAGAGTTGGAACTTTGCAAATCCTTTGGTTCGCAGGCCAGGCCTGAATCCACGCAGCCTCACCAGCCAGGGCACGGGTTCTGCGGATCTTTGCAAATCCTAAGATGAGGGTTGAGCTGGAGCAGCCTGAGACCCAGTGCTCTGGACCAGGCCCTTGTCTTTTGGATTAATTGAGCCATGCTACTGCCACCCCAGCCCACTAATGGGATATCTGGCTTGCTGGGGCGCTCTTTTTCCCCCCTCCAATTGTAAATCACCTTTGTCACAATGACTTAGGACGCTTATTTAAAATGCAGATTTCTGGAGTCCCACCTCAAGCACCTGAAGTCATAATCACTGGGCTGGGGCCCAGGGTCTGGATTTTGACTGACTCCTAGGTGATTCTTCTGTACAGGAAGATTTGAGAACCCTGGCGTTTCCCTCCCCAGCTTTGAGCCAGGTCCATAATCTGCCAGGTTGGAAGTTGGGCCATTCTCTTTCCTCTTAAGACTTCCTGCAAGTTCCAAATAAATGTGTAGGAACTGCGACCAGCCCCTAATTAGGAGAGCCCCAGTGCTCTCCAGGGGCTGCTGGTTCTGCTCGCCCTGCACCTGTGTCTCAGGCCAGGCTGAAGAGTGGGAAGCTGTGGACCCCAGGAACTGAGCATTTTGGGGGTTGGCCAAAAAGCCTGTATGGTTTTTTTCTGTAAAATAAAAAAATATTTTTCATTTTCACCAATAATTATTGATTTAGACATTTTGAGTGTGTTGGCTATCTCTTTCTATTGGCTTCTAGTGGGCAGAGGTCAGGGCTGTTGCTAAACATCTTCTGATGCATAAGACAGCACCACAGCGAAGAATTATTTGGCCAAAATGTCAGTAGTACCAAAAACTTGGCAAACCACTTTTGACACGTTCAATCAGTCACGGAACCTCTATACACTGCACATATCTTTTTTTGCATTTCAATTGCATTTTTACCTTTCTTGAAACAATAACACGTAATACACTGAGAACCTTGTGTATTTTCTTCCATCTTTACTATTAAATGGCTGCATAAAAATTCACCAATTTTGATAAGTTTTTTTTAAATGCACACTGATATGACAGCTGTCACAATACAATCTAACAAAATTGTTTCAAATGAAGTTAAAGACAACCAAGCACTATTAGAGCCATCGTGCGGAAAAACACTAAATGAACTTTTTGGCCAACCCACTATTTCTCCCCGGGGCTGGGCTGGCACCCTCTTGCAGAGAGCCAACCTGTGCAGCGCAGGGTGTGAAGGAGATTGTTGTTTATTCCCGTCCCCTGGAGGTGTGCTGTGGTTTGCTGGTAGTTAGAACACACATACACACCCTTTCTGCTGCCCCATTATATAAGCTCCTCTTGTCTCCATAGTTCAATTCAGAAAGACAGACCCTTCCTTGACCACTGCAGACTGGCTACAGGGTGCCCTTCTCTCCCAGCCAACAAATTCACAACAATAATATCATTATCAGTTATTTCTTGAACCAGGCACTCTACTGAAAATTATATGTGTTGTCTCAACTGAGGAAACGGAAGGCTCAGATGGGTGAAAGGACTCAGCCATTTCAGGTCAGGGCAGCTCAAACAGTCGAGTGCACCCTGGGACCTTGCTAAGACGGAGGGGGACTGCGCTTTCCGCTGGCTCCCGGGTGGAGGCCTTCGGCAGGACCGCAGACCCTGCTTTGAGTGGCGCCTCCCTCCTAGCCGGGAAGCAAAGGGCCTCTTTGCTGCGCTCTTCCCCCTCCAGTCCCTGCCCCCAAGGCTCATGCCTCTCTGTTCCCCCCTCCTCTGCTCTGTGGCTCCCTACCCCACCCCAGTCCTGCCTTCAGTGTCTTTTCTGCCCTTGGACAAAGAACTCTCTCTGGTGCTAGGGTCAGGCCTGCTGGGGCTTGCTGGGACAGACTGGC